TCAGAGAGAAAGAGAAGAGAGCAAACAAAACAATGGAAGCAAACAAACAGGAAGAGGGGCAGGGCTTGCCTTAAACCTGAGAAAAGGGGCTACTAATAGGTTAGTGGCAAAGCCACTTATGTTACACTGTAAAGCCCCATTCCCACTGAAACCCAGTGTTAGATTGTTATTTTCTCCAACAAAACAGCCAGTTTGGCTTCCCAAATTTGTAAGATTGTCCATCCTGACCAAAGTTCTTTGACTTATCAAAATTATTTGACCACTACAAATAAAACTTGTGTGGGCAAGGTGCTTCAGACTTTGGTGTCTGAACAGCTTCAGACATTCTTGAAGGAAACTAATTGTCTAAATATACTACAGTCTGGATTCAACTACCGAAACACCAGGTGAATTATTTGCTTTTGTGAGAGATGGGCACTATTTCTTTGCTGAGTCTCTTAAAGATCTGTCCTTGGCTTTTGATGCCATCAGCTATGATATCTTACTGGAAGAACTGTGGGAGAAGAGGCATGATGATGCAGTGCTTTCATCACCCGATACAGAATGTAGTATTAGGGGTATTATGAGGTATTACTGTAAACGTGCAAAGCTGCTTATATGGATTAGGCCATTAACTCCTCTATTGTTAAAACAATCTTAAAACAAATAGGCCACCAAGATCTTAGGTCTAAACTGTACCTTGCAGATAACCCATCATTAGAAGAAGGAATTCCTTAACTGCAGAAACCGTATTATTATCACAGCGATGGCTTTCCCTCACGTGCTTCATTTTATGATTAGTCACACTTCGGAGCTAAGTGTGGCCTTGTTTACAAGTGTAATTTCTCACAAATGAATGTCTTCCTGGTTCACATGTTTGATATACTAACCTGATTTTAGCTCTGATTATGAGATATGTGTAATATACACTTTGACCCTCGGATAGTGAACTTTCTAAGCCCTGCTCCCTAAAAATTCTTCATTGCCAACACCAAGAATTAACCTGAGACCTATAGGCCAAGCATGAGAACTATGACTGGGCTACATTCCCTCAACAGAAAGCTGCCCTAATCGAAGCAATTACATTTTATCTAAATTGTATCAGTTGGGTTATACTGAATATAATAAACCAATGCAGATTGGTATCATTAGTGAGTGTAAATGATTTATTTCATTCCACATGGCCTTAATATGTATAGGATTTTTATTTTTATTTGCTAGTCAGCACAAAGTGCCAACCTAGCATTTTGAAAGCATGTAAAAATGTGAGTAGATAAATAGGTACCACCACTGTGGGAAGGTAATGGTGTTCCATGTCTAGTTGCGCTGGCCACATGACAATGGAAACTGTCTTCAGCTTTACGGCTTGGAAATGAGGATGAGCACCACCCCCTAGAGTCGGACATGACTGGACTAAATGTCAAAGGGAACCTTTATCTTTACAAAGTGTTTAATAAGTTTGACACTAAGTGTCTTGATAAATATGCTTCTACAGGGGTGACAGGAGGTCAAGGACTATCTCAGTGGGGTCTTGACTTGAGAACTTAATCCATATTGGAAGGCGGTTCTCAAGTCAAAAAGTCTGTAAGTCAAGTCTCCATTGACGTACAGTGCATTGAAAACCGATTAATCCCGTAACAGGCCGTTTTTGTTCCATTTTGGTTTTTTTCTGGTCTGTAAGTCAATTCTCAGGCTGCAAGTCGAACCTAAATTTTGCGGCCAGAGAAGTCTGTAACTCAAAAAGTCTGTAAGTCAAGCCGTCTGTAAGACAAGGGTCCACTGTATTATTTTTCTGAGGTGGATGAATGTGGCTGCTGACATTTTATCTTCAGTCTCGTATTCCTCATAGGAGGTTTGATGGCATCCAAAAGAAAGAAGAGACGCTGATAAAAGATGCTTGGGTCATTTAAAATATTTTAGCTGAATTAAAGTGACTCATTGTCATAACTGTAATGTCTTTGCTTGCAATATGGGTTGCTGTAGAGCAGGGCTGGGCATCTTTAATGGGGCTGAGGCCCAGTTTTCATTGTGGTTGGCAGTTCAGGGTTCCCATTCTGAGGGAGCATGGCCAGTGTAGGTAGGATGGGGCCAAACTGGTTGATTACCTTTCTTTTATTTTTTTTTTCCAAATATATGGATAGTGATTGTAACAGAGAATAATAATCAGCTAACATCAGCCCATCAATGTAACTAATGTCATGTAAGAGATTAATTTATAAATGTCTGAAGCCTTTAATTTATTTCTTGAGGGTCTTGAAGCCTGCAAAAATGCCCTAGGGATGCATGTTGCCCGTGTTATGTGCCTGCAGGGTTCATTAGCTGACCTGGAACATAAGGGAATATGGCTGTTGGTGTGGACATGGGTGGGAGGTATTGTGAGTTAGTAGGCTCGCTGAGAAGAAGACTGAATGGGCAGTTCCTTCTCCTGGGTCTTTTGAGATATACCTGTATTAGGGATCTTGCTGTTGTATTGCCCACCCTTTTACCAGTCAGCATCCCTGCCTGAGTTCAGACTTGGTATTGAGCCCTCCCACTTCCCAAATATTTGCACTCAGAGCCCTCAGTTTGCTTGCAAAGTACACCATTTACAGGTTTTAGATGCCAAGTCAAGACCTTTTTATTCTCCCAGGCCTTTAAGAAATTGTTTTTAGATGTTTGCAGTTTTATTTTACCACTACTTTTAAATTTTAGTTTTTGTGCTGTATTGTTTTCACTCTTTGCTGCTGGCGTTATCTTGGTTTTTCTATTGCTGCTTTTGTATTGTCTGTTTTGTATTTTTACCTTTACTGCTGTCTGTTGTTTTGTTTAATGCATACTGCCAGTAGAAGTCTGGTTTAATGACCTGTGAAGAATAAATAAATACCTAGCATATCCTGCAATACCATTGATTGCAGGCCCTACCACTGTCCTGGGGACAATGCTCAGTCCTTATGCTGAATATAAGAGAAGCCAGTTGTGCTTTGTATTCTACCTCTCCACCATTACACATTGAGTAACCAGCTGTGTAGATGACCTATACAGATGTTACACCAAGGAGAGTGAAAAAGATGCCTATCACTGGCCACTCCAGAATGATATGAAAAAGTTCCTTCCTGTATGACAGACAATTAGGGTAACTGTAGGTATCTAAGGTATGCTGCTGCCTGTGCTGCAAAAGATGCTGGACCATATAGGTGCATCATTATTTCATCCTTCCCTTATCTCCTCCCAGTTTTCATGAAGATCGAGAGATTCTTCCCATTGGGGGACTGTCATACTCAAAATCATGGCGCCCAGGACTTTGCCAGCCAGCAGAAGTTCTCCTGTGGGTGGGTTTTTTTTTTTTTTTGGGTGATGCCAAGGAAGCTTCCTAATACCACAAATTACAGAGTCTTCTGTTGGAGGCAGAATCGGTGGTGCCACCCTCTATGGCTGCTGCAAACTACTGGCCTCCAGCAGTTATAATGACTAGTCAGAGTCCTTTTTGTTTGAGATTTTAGCATCCCAAAGGAGAAGGATTTGCCTACCTGTCTGGTTTTATGTGGAAGAACATACAAACATGCTGAAATTCTGAAATTGTACCTGTCGGGAACTCTGCTTTCTGACCTGTGGGAAGGCTCCTATCACTTTAATTCTAGGTTTTGACATTGGAATCAAAAGATGTCTCTCATTCTGTATTTCTACAATGCTGTTAGAATGGAGTGTAGGAGATTGTCTTACAATATTTTGAGATTTCTGTTATCACACCAGCTGCTCTTGTGTTGCATTGTGCATGACACACTTTCAGTCACCTCAAAGCAGGGAAGCAGTTTTTTGAGGGGGGGGGGCTACAGGAATTTAACCACTATAATTGTACCTGTGAAAACAAGTGGAGTTCTTTCACAGGCACTTGAAACTCAGCTGGGATTGCTGTATACTATAAATAAACAGCATCAGCAACCTAAGTTGCTGTGTTTGTAATATGAAAACATTCCTTCCAACTGAGACAAACATTAAATAACTCTGTGCTAGATCACACAGAGACATAAACATGTTCAGTAAAGTCCAGTGAGAAGACATACATGGAAACTCATTGGCAATTGTGTCCTAGGATTCTCTGAATTTCTGCAGTGTTTTTTTGGAGTCACTGGAAATGACACTTGCTTCATGTGAAAAATTCAACTTTGCTATCCTATGACCTTAGCAATCCAGAGGTCATCCAGTATCAGGGCAGGACATATCATTAGACAATGTGAGGTGACTATCTCAGACAGCAAATACAAGGAAATAGGAAATGGGGAGAAGCTAAGGGAGATGTTGAATGAGGAGAGGTGTGGAACAAACTGTTCCCTTAGCTAGTAGGATGACCACTGAGGTAGCACCACAAAGAAAGACATAAAGCACAAGTCTTTGGAAGAAATTTGCATTATATTTGTCTTAGATTAGATTAGATTAGGCATCCTTTAATCTCGAGAGACTATGGTAATGTGCTTTTATGGAGGACTTGGAACAGCGACTAGTGTGGCTGAGAAGGCCAATTTGAGAGTGACAATCCCTTCCACACTGAAGGCAAATACAATCTATCCCCTGTCCAGCTCCCTGATTTTGCTGATTTCGGGACTGCCTCTTGGCCTCGGCCTGCTGGACAAGGGAGAGGCAAATTGAGAGAGGCCATGATGTACCACCTGCCTCCAGGCTGAATGCTCAGAAGTCAAGGTTTCCCATCTGTTGAGGTCCATTCCTAAGGCCTTCAGATCCCGCTTGCAGATATCCTTGTATCACAGCTGTGGTCTCTCTCTGGGGCGCTTTCCCTGCATTAATTTCCCTGCATACTTGCATATGCTACTTTAAACTAATATATGCAATTATAGACACACAGAGAGATAATTACCATAATCAGAGAAGAAATATGGTATAACTCACAAAATGTGAAGGTCTTTGTCCTGACCAAATGATTTGAATGGTTAATTCAAATATGAAATCTAATAAAGTCTACGAGAGAAACTAGAACATAAAACACATGTGTATGCATAAAAATAAAAATATGTATTTTTTATTTATAGATACCAAGTTAACATTTCTAACCCATTCAACGTGCGAATGGCGCTATGATGTTTGTACAAGCCCATGTTTCAAAACATGCAGAGATCCTTTGGCAGAACACTGTCAGACTGTACCAAAGTAAGTATTTATGGATTTGTAACTTTAATAATATATTCCCCTGCAATACTAAACTCACATGGCTGACTGCTTAGAAGCAAAACACTAACATCTAAGTAGAATGGTGTGCTCTGTTGTGAGGAACTTGACCCGCAGAGCCTCTTTGCCTCCCCATTCAGAATAGCACGAGGTGTGGTTTCCCATCTCCCGGCTATCCGGAGGGAAGAGGGGAGGCAGGCCTTATTTAACAGGCAATCCCCCTCCTTGATCAGCCTCTTTTGAGGCTTGCAACCCACCTGCCCACCCTTATAGCTAGTGTGAGTTTTGCTGGTCACCTCTAGGGCTGGATAGGAATTTTTGACCCACTTGCTGATTGGCAGTTGTGAGCGGGGATTTTTTGCCTATCCCACACTGATATAGGGTTTGGGGCTCCTTTCTGGGTAGTTGCTTTAGGTGGCACTGGCAGGTAGTGTGGAATGAAGATTGATCGGTGAGTTTCCCGTGGAGTACAGGCGAGGTACAGTGTGCCTGAACCCCGAGAGCTGTGGATCATGAGATTACGGTTCAGGGAGGAAGGATGTGCTAGGGACACCTCTGGGCCAAAGGCCACCAATAGATGAGGGGCTAAAGGCCCGGGGGTGGTGAGATTATGGCCAGCTAGGGCTGCACTGTCATCGGGACCACGTGTCCTCGGGGCAGGACATTCATGAAAAGGGGTCCTGAGAGACCTCCACTGCCAGCAGCATTCTGCACTACTGCAGGCCCCCTTTCAAGTTTTGATTTGGGTTACGTACAGTATTAACGAAGTTCTGTGGTCAATAAAGTTTGGCCCTGTTTCATCCCATCTATTGACTCTTGCCTCTTTATTCCGGAGAGGGGAGGGCAAAGCTTCTACATGCTTGGAAGATCATTTGCATATGCAAAAATATTTGTGTTTGTAAATTAAAAGCAAAACACTTTTTTTAATGGCCTGGCAACAACCTGTGGTCATTGAGGAAATGGTAAAGAGAGAGAGGAAGCAAAAAGCCACTTAAGAGAGACCTATTGTCCTCATGTTCTTCTTGTGGGTTTTGCATAAGTATCTTGTTTAGCACAGTGTAAATAGAATGTGGGGCCTTCAGTTTGATCTGGCATGGCTCTTCTTGTATAGAAAGACATTCTGAGTGTATCGGTTCAGGCTACTGCTGAGTTGTTTTAGGTGAGATAAGGAATGTAAGGGTGTTATCTGAAAAAGAAAATGATAAGCAGGATGAAAATAGGAAACTGATGTGTTCAAGGCCCTCAGAGTTTATATAATCATTCTGAAAGGGAGATTAGGTTTGGAGAGTGTGAATGCCATGAGATTAATCCTCCTTTCCCACAGTACCTATGGGAAAGGAATAAATGGCACTTTCCCCACTGCTTAGAACTCTATCCCAGTCCCTCCTATATACAGAGAAATAATGAGGCTTCTTGCTGACAGCCCTTTAAGACTTTGTAGCGTAGTAGGGAAATGAGTGAGGGGAGGAAAAAGGTGACCTTATCCCTTCTTCACTTCTTAACTCCATCCCCAACAGGCTTGCACAGCTCTTCACTTTTCTTGTTTAGGGTGTCTGAAGCCCCTGAAAAGGAACATTACTTTTCGTGGACGGGATTTTACTTCAGATTTTGTTATTGCCTTCACTTGTGCTCTCACATTTAGAAAGCCATATTTGTTTAGTTATTTACCAGTCATTAGTACTTCAGCCCATTCTTATGATTCAGAATCCGTTTCATAAGCATATTATAATCTTATGTGTGAAATATGTATTGGATTTTCATATTTCTTGGACTTCAAGTCCCAGAAATCAGGAATTCCCACAGCCTAAATTCTGGGGGTGTTAATCAAGAAATCAAGGCCTGACAGGTGTTTTCAGCTACTTACAGATGGGAAATAGATCATCACAATATGAGCCTCAATGTGAATTGTCTGTATATATGATGGAAGGAGGACTCTAGATTGCAAGACCTCTGTATATATATATCCTAAAATCTTCTTTTAGAAAGAGTCCAAATATCATTAACAGGAAGTGGTGAGCTTTCCAACACTGGAGGCATTCAAGAGGAAGTTAGACAGATAGAAAAAATATACTGTAGTGAAGCAAAAAGACAAATTCATAACAATTTTATTAGTAATATACAAATAATGCCCTTGTTTCACTCTTCAGACTCTCTGTGTAAGCTGCCCAGAGATCTTTGGGTAGTGTGGGTGGCATATAAATTAAATAAATAATTAAATAAATAAATAGCTATCACAATTTTCAGATATTTTATACAGAAGATATGAAAAATAATGCAGATGTCAATCCTATATATATTTACCTGGGACTAGTTCCATTACTTATGTAATAACACTTCTGAGTAAATATACTTAGGGTTGTGCCATTAAAGATATTTTGAATAATTAACATTAGCCTCTATCCTTGGTCTTGTTGTTTCCATACAAGTTGCTCATGAATCATTTTTGTTCTTGTCTTCTGCTTTCCCATGCAAGGCAAATTCTTAGCAGAGCTCTGTTGGGCTGTTAGCATTGGTTATAAACAAACAAGGAACCCAATTTTGTACAAGCATTTGAAGGCTTTCTGCCAGTTCTAAATTGAAGTAGTCATCATTGGACAAGCATACACAATTCGTTCCAAAGGCTATGTCACATAGTTCGTGAATTAGCTCAGCTCAGCAGGATGGCATGTTGGGTCAACCACAATGTGTGAGCTAATGAAAGAAATGGGAACAATAATCTGAAGTTCCTGTATCTTAAATGATTTAGAAATTTAGGCTTTAATCCACAAACCATTTTAAAACAGACTGACTTCACTGGGGCAGCAAGCCAGGTTAAAAACAAGTAGAAGCTCAACTATTGTATTGGTTGGCACTTTGAGTTGTTTGTTCTTTTGTTTTAAATCAACACACTGTTTGTATAAATAATCAATGCTGATTATTTTTCTCTTCTAGAGTAGAAGGATGTGTTCCTATGTGCCCTCTGAATATGGTCCTGGATGAAGTCACTCAGAGATGTGTCTATTTTGCAGATTGTACGTAAAAAAACCACAATTTGCTTATTACATTTCATTAAAAATTAAGGTATAGTGTCTTAAGTTATCACCTCAGGTTTATACTTATGAAAATGTTGTTACAAGCAGCCTGTTTTTCTAGACCACTGGTTCTTAACCTTGGGTTACTCAGGAGTTTTGGACTGCAACTCCCAGAACCCTTCACCACCAGCTGTCTTGACTGGGGTTTCTGGGAGTTGCAGTTCAAAAGCATCCGAGTAACAAGGGTTAAGAACCACTGTTCTAGACTACGATCTTTACCTGTATCTTATACTGAGGTTAGGAACATTGCTTATGAGCTTTTTTTCTGACCAAAAACACCACAGTCAATCAAAATTATAAAAACATTGACTGGTATTATATAACAGGTATGAATTTTAACCAAAAAACTAAGTATCTGTTAAATATTGATGGAGTGTGTATGCTGTTCCTAATATTGTCAATTTTTGTAGCTCTGATGGTGTTATTTCTGAGACATGCAACTGCTTATAATATTGTGTGAAATTTCTTGATATTGTTCCCATAGCCTGGATGACTGTGGGGACAAGTGAAATGTGTTTCTTCCAGAGGTGAGATGTTTCAATTGCAAGAGCTCTGTACTTGGTTAGTTTTATCCAATTCTTTATTTTCAACTCTAGCATCCCTTGGAATTGCAGTGACAATGCTACTGGCATTTCTTTGTTCTATTACTACTATGTCTGGTGTGTTATGTTTGAGGGGGTCTATCAGTTTGGATCTGGAAATCCCACAAGATTTGACATTGTCATTTTCTGATACCTTCTCTACCTGATTTTCCCATGGGTTTTTGGAGGCTTGCAAGTTATAGTTTTTGCATAATGATGAGTTATCGTCATCATCATCATCATCATCATCATCATCATCATCATCATCATCATCATCATCATCATCATCATCCCCTCCATGGGCACAGGCCTTGTTGAGGCGGAGGGGCTTGTATGCTTCAGTGAGGTTGAGAGCTATGCTGAGGTGTCTCCCAAGCCAGACAGGTTTCAGCTGAGAAGCCAGACCAACTGTGTCCACCAATCATCAATTATGATGAGAGGAAATAGATAGAAATCCATATTGAATCAGTCGTCGCCCGGGTCAACAAGGACCGTGCCAAATGCTATAGCCCTTGGGCATCTGGTGTTAAATGGACTACAGGGCTCAACAGACCCTGTTGAGGGACGAGGACAGGCTGTTGCAAAGCTACTGGAACAACGTAAATGCAAAACTTAGACTCTCACCGAAAATGGAGAAATAGTGAAATGTTATTAAATCACAACATCAGAGCTACAAAAAAGGTAGTATTAGGAACAGCGTACATACTGTGCTGAGGTTAGGATACTTAGCTTTTTGGTTAAACTTGTATCTGTTATATAGTACCAGTCAATGTTTTTACAATTTAGACTGTGCCTGGTGTTTTTGAATAGTAGTAGTAGTAGTAGTTATCATTATTGTTACTGTTATTTCAGGCATTGAACCCACAGCTGATGTACGGATACCACCCTCCACTTTTGAGACCCATACAACTTCTGAGGCTCATCAAACCTCTATAGCAAAGCTGAGTGAAAAAGCATCTTCTTCTCCAAGCCCAGCATCAAAAGACAGAGCAACAACCCATGCATTCACAGAAGCAACCTTTTCTACTCCTCTGTTACGAAATATTACAGTTCTAATGACATCTAATATTTCAACCCACACAACCTTTGATAAAAGTACAATTCCAGTGTCTTCACCGCTAGTGTTGAATGTTAGCTTCCCTTCTGCAGCTGTTGTTACTCTATCAGCAAGTACTGTAGGTACAGGCACTTTGCCTAGTAAACAGACGAGTAGTAGTACAATACCTTCAGCCCTTTTAACATCTGTGATCACTGAAGCAGAAAGCAAAATTCAGACTACTATTATGACTCCATCCGTCATTCCAGATTTTAGTTTACCTGCCACAGCTATCGCAGCATCAGAAACAAAAGTAACAGGTACTCAGAGTTTCCACACAAAAGAAACGGAAAGAAAACCTGAAATTATTACAGAAGGCAAAACTTCTTTTCTAGGGACATTAAGACCAGAAAGAACAAGTCATTTTTCTACCAAAGCCACATTGCCAGTTTTGGAACTATCCTCGTATTTGCCAACAATGAATCAAACCACAACTTTGGACAGAACAAAACTGGGTGTAAGTCAGCCATCTGTAATGGTCACCAATGTCACTTTAACTTCATTTTCTCCTTTATTTACTACTTTATCAACACTAAGGCCAACTGTTAGTCCAGTTCCTTCAGAAACAACAAAAATAACAATTCCTTTAGTTGAAGAAGGAATTAAGACCATGCTTATTCCAGCACCTCAAATGCTTACGCAGTCTACCACCATAATCCCTACAAATCAAAGCATGCTGTTTTCTACTGTTAAAAAAGGAATGGTACAAACATCAAGCATTACACATCCACCGCATTTGTATTTTTTTCCATATTTATCTACTGTCTCAAAACCTGCCATATTTTCTTCCACACACTCTAAATTATCTGATACAAAGTCTCCAACATCAATAGATTCAAAAGAAGTTTTACAAACTGGACTGACAAGTGAGTATTCACCATTTAGACAGCCAAGTGTAACAGAGTCTGTATTAGTTTCATATAGTCATCCACCATCATCCCATGGAACAAGAGCCACACCTTTGTCTACTCAGACGATCTCCAAAAGGACAACCCCCTTGGAATTGCAAACACTCACTTCAATTTCCCTTAAAACATCTAAAGAATACAAACCACCTTTGTCCCTGAAAACCACAAAGATTAGTGTTGTACAAGATTATCTTGGTGCTACAGCAAAACCAGAAACAACAAAAACTGATTTTACACAAGAAATTACAACCCTGCTTGTCCAAGTTCCATTGGAAACTAAAAGGACTGAACATGTTCAAGCAACTGGATATCCATTTACTCTGCATGCTACAGCAGCTACAGAAAGAGTAGCAGCACTTCTTGGCACTGTGGAGTCAGACAAAACCACTAGTGTACATACAAGAAAGTCTTCCACCACTTCACTTCCAGTGTCCATTTCTGCAAGAACATTGTCAAAGGAAGTCACTAGTTCTATGCCTTCATCAGCTGAAGCTCAGGAAACCATGTCTGCTACTCTGCCTCCGACAACATCAAGGACTACCTCATTGTTTTCATTGTTGCCCATTACAACAGAGCCACCAAGCACAGTAACCTCAATATCAACTCCAGAGTTGACAGAAGCTTTAGGTAGCACCAGTGTTACTTCATCCCCATACACTCAACTTAGCGGCCAGTCATCAGCTGTCAAAGAATTAGCATCAACTGAAAGAGTGTCAACCTTCTCTTCTGTTTCTCTTCCTCTAAAAGCACTTGCTGCCACCCAGTACCTGACAAAGACAACCGTTTCCCCATATACTTCAACACAAAAATTACCTGAGACAGCAACCACTGCAGAAGAGCCAGCTGAGATAGTTAAATCACCTGTAACTTCTGAGGTGACTTTTTCTGTTCATACTTCTCCAGTCGAAGGGATTTCTTCTGTTTTGAAAGAGGAAATTACTTTTCCATATTTTACAGAAGAAAAACAGGGATCTTCACCAGCTTCGAAAGCTTACTTAACAACAAAAGCTACTACTACAGCTTACCATGTTCCTGTTGAACCAGGAAGGACTGATATTCCTCTCAAAAGTACTTTTAGCACAACTGAGTCAGCAGCCAAACTTGCTGTGCCCTCTCTGTTCCAGAGTTTTTCACTACCAGTTGTTCCTTCTACTGGACTTACTTCTGTATTTTTGTCAAAAATTCCTTTAACAAGTGGCAAAGAGGTAACTGAAGCACTGAAAAGTGATATAAGTCTTCATCAGACAACAATTTTAACATCAACTGAAAAAGCTACTGACTTTTCTGATGATGGAAAACCTCAGTTTTCTACTTCCGAAGCTTCATCTATCACAGAAGGGGAAGTAGTAGAGTTTTCTCATACTGAAAAATCAAAAACAGACTTACCCACCACAAAGCAAGTATTGACTACTTCTAAAATACTCACATCTAGCACTTCACTTCCTGTATCAGAGTCAACATCTCCTCCATTGTATACATTAGGAGCACCAGAAACATCTGTTGTGAGCCAAACAGACACACTAGAGGGGACATTTTTAATGCCAGTAGTATCAACACCTGTCATGTCAACCAGTAAAAACATTACAAGGATTTCAGTTTTATCTAAGCAAGTACCACTTTCTACTGTTTCGTATACTCCAACATTCCCTGCTATTAGAGTTACACCAGCTACCCCATATTTTACAACTACAATAGAATCAGTACCTCTAGGAATAAGTGGTCTTACAACACAGAGTGTCACAAAATCATTAGCAGAGAAAACAGCAGGAATAAGAGAATCTATCACAACATCCATATATTCAGTGCCTTCTGTTGCTTCAGAAGCAAAGGGTATCACATCTGGAGTAGCAGCAACTGGTAGACAATCATTGGTTACAAAGCTTCCTATATCACCTTCAACCTCCAAACATTTACTGACTTCCCTCAGTTCTACTCTCCTAGCTACGGTATCTAAGAGGCCATCTATAATGGAAGTCCCCACATCCTCCATTGATTCTTTACTGATACCACCAGTACACCCAAATGCTACAGTAACCATACCAGTTCCCACCAATTTATCTACAAAATCAGTTCATGATTTTGCTACAGCATATTCTCCAAGATTAACTGTGGTTGAAACTGGAGTTACAACATCTCTTTTCATGCCATCTAAAGAAACAGCAACATTGCCGGCATGTGTAGTGAGTATCTTCCCTATTTTTCCTCCCTTATGTATGATTATATATATATAGTGGGAAATTTAGAACCAATAAAAGGAAATATTTCATACAGTACTATTTACTATTTAAACTGTAGAATTGGCTACTAGAAGGCATAGTAATGTCCATTAACTCAGAAGGCTCAAAAGGGAGGGTTAAACTAGAATTTGGGAGTAAGTAATTCCAAATAACTTTTTTACTTCATGTTACAGTAATTTATTTCTCCAATAACAAAAATGAAACTGTAACATTACATTATGACTGCAACTTAAAAATAGACATGGTCACTCCTTCTGTTGTGTAGGAGTAATTCTTTGGTCAAATAGGTATGATGTTTGGCTTTATCAAATGGTAGAAGAAGACTATCACCTGGTTCAAGCACTAGCACGTGCTGTATCGTATACTGCTGAATGAAAGTTCAGAAAAATTTTGCTGTTTCTGGAAACCAATCATTCTAAGAAATTGGAAAGAACAGATTTGCCTTAAAATTGTAACAACAGTTACTAACTAATTCTGTGTCCTTGGAATTAACCAATTATTTTTTAAAAAGAGCTAGCAAAAACTAGCTATAAGCAATTTTGCCTGTGTACATGTTTTTCTCAGTACCAGTTGGGGAAAATAAGGAGAATAGTATTATGTCTATGATTTCTTGTAGATGTCAGGTTGGTCATAGGTAGGCTTTTGATCTTAGATAAGACAGTTTCTCTTATGTTTGTACCCATTCACAGTCCTTGGGCCTCATTGGAGAATGAATATAATGTTAACGTGTTGTGTTTTGGCTTCCAGCTTTCTACTCCTTTCATATAATAGAACTTTCCAGCTCTCTAGTCCCTTTCCCGCCCACTAAAATTCTCCTCTTGAGGGCTGGAGAACCGTCCAAAATAGCATATGAGATGACACAGGAAATCAGCAAAAATCAGGACGCTTCCACTCTCACATGTACTTGTATCTTTGACTCTTAGTTGTTATTTCCAAAGTTGAAAAGTTGAAATCTGAATTGCTAGGCAGGTCAAAATTCTGAAAACTGTACAATTTTTTATCCTTATAATTCAACATGTGACCAGAAATTCACCTGAACAAAAATATGTTAGGATGGTGTAGGTCCAGTAGAGGTAGGACAAATGTTCAGAATCACTCTGAACAATGTATATACAGTATTTGCTGACTGCAAAATCATAAAAAAATTAACAAATGATCCAAGAGTCTAAATACTGTTAATTGTGAGGAATTGACAAGAAGCTGTTATATTTGTTTTAGTTTATTCTGTTCTCTGGGATGCAGCTCATCACTTGAATCATGCTTACCTTTGGTTTGCTGTTAGTAAAATACCTTATTCACACCAATCTCCTTAAGTTATGCTTTTATCCAGATGTTGTAGTCACACTGGGCTTAGAGTTTGGTTAACTATCAGGGAAGTGAACAGCAAAGGTAGCTGTTCCAGATGTTGTAGTCACACTGGGCTTAGAATTTGGTTAACTATCAGGGAAGTGAACAGAAAAGTGGCTATTTAGCTATACCATGGAGAATAAATGACTAGTGGCATAAACTAGATTTGTATTGGAAAAGGACTGTAGAAAATAAAATTGAAAAATAAGAGTTATATTTCCATTCAACTAACTACAGTTATGATTTTCAGATAAAATAGGTTGTAGATGGACGAGGTTCACACATAGTGTCATGGGGGGGAGATATAAATGAATTTGCATTATTATTTTAAATGCTCTTAGAGTTTCTCCTACTGGCTGAAATTCTGTTCCCAAAATAAGGTTATACCCATGCAAACTGATGGTGCCATCAGCTACTGGTGTTTACTGCTTGTTAAAAGTTTCCTATTCCACCACCAACTCCAGTTTCTGAGGTTCTCTCTAGATCCCTTTTGACATGGGGAAATCTTTGGAAGCCTCAAGATTGGACTGGTGGACAACTACTTTAAAAGATAATTAATGACAAGTTTGTTACATAATGTTGTAATGATGGCAGATGAATCTGTTAGTTGCTTGAAACAAAGTATCATAAGCTACATCCCTTTTACTGACACTTCACATGACTTCCAATATTTCTCTTTGACCTGCTTCTTAGTGTTGCTGTTCATGTATAAAATATGTTTTATGGAGGAGTATAATTATATAGTTTTTATCTTACTTCTCTCAGAGGCCTGCCAAAAGAACTAACAACAACATATATCTTGAAACATGTTTTGTGATCAAATTTCTTGTTTTTCATAACTATCCCACTTTGAAGTTTTGACCTTTTTAAAAATTCTGATTTATTAAACATTTCGTTTGTTAAATATTTTTTCAAGGGTGTTGATATTGAGACGTGACTTTAAAGTAATTTATGGGCACTGTGTATCTTGGAACATAGAGACCCATACCATTTTCTGTAAATATGGCTTTATTGAATGTAACTTTGATAAGAATAGTAACCTATATTTTTGAAATATGTCTTAGCCAATCACCGAGAATGAATGCATAAAACACATTTGCTTAGATGGACAACTGATCCAAGTTAACAAATCACAGAACTGTCCATACAATTCAACCAAACCCAGTTGTGGATTTCTTGGACTTGCTGTTCAGATTAATGGAGACAAATGTTGTCCAAAATGGGAATGTGCATGTAAGTTTTACTCACACTGTGTTTATTTCAAAATTATATTAAGCTAATGACAATTTGGACTTTGGAGTTGGCAAAAAAACTGTTATGTAATGGGAACAGATGGTGGCATTTATTTAAGTGTTATTAATTGCTTGCATGTCATAGACACAAAGGATTTTAAGTATCAGTTTCATAAAAAGAACTGAGCACTAACAATCTCATCATCGAATAGGATTGTGCACTACAGTACAATAATAAAGTAGACTAAACAAACAGAACTCTGTTACACAGGGGAAAGTCACAAGAACAGAAATTATCTCATTGTACCAAAGATTTATTTTCAAGGGCAAGCAATATATTTAACTCAATTTTGGGACAGAACATGGAGCTGCTAAAAGCTGAAAGAACAATAATGCTAGAGAGATCCTTTTCTCATGCATATGAGAAAAGAATGCATATGAATATGTTCTATAGGGGTTGTGCACAAGAAACATCATGGTTTGGATCCAGAGTTCTTGTGAATGGATTTCTGCCCATAGGATGTTCCCATTGGTGGAAGGAAGGGGCAGGTTGTACTGATTATTCCTCATCTCTGTAGCCTTTAGGGTTTGGGGACCCTCTAGAATAACATGGTATGTAGTGCTACAGGAAGAAGAGTAAATCAGCAATGATTGTTTCTCTTCCCCTTTCCCCCAATGAAAGAGTCCACTTTGTGTCACTTTGGGGAATGGAAGAAATTATTCTATCCATAGAAGGGTAACTCTGGAAGCAACCTATTGTGACATTGGACTTTGAAGACTAGCATGTACAGTATATGAACCAAAGATAGCAAAATGAAACATTTGCAAAAATGTATTCCTGTAGTGATCTGCTGGCAGGAAGGCATGTGTAGAGTTTCAAAATAGGCATAACCACCAGGAAACTGACTCTTGAAGATTTAACTTTTAAAATATGTATCTATCTTTGCAAAAATAAATTACAGATACATTTGAATTTCACAACTCAAGAAGCTTTGTCCTATTCTTGCATCGAGAAGGGGGTTGGACTTGATGGTCTTATAGGCCCCTTCCAACTTCACTATATTATGATTCTATGACATGCTGCTTAACAAGTATACTCTTTTATCTGTTTTAATTTTACATGTTAAATATGCTTTTCAGACATTAAAAATGGGCAAAATATTTGAAAAATCAATTAGGTTTAATTGATAGGTGATAATCCTACTCACTTATGTAATTATGTAAGGGCAAGCATGGAAGTCTTTGCACCCTCTAGCAATCTCTTCTTTACATAACCTGCCTTATGGTGGCTGTAAAATCAGGCACACAACCAGCCCCATGAAGGGCTACTTTCTTATCACCTGGACATGCGTGATTTTTCTCAGTTAGATTTTTGCATTAGTGTTTTTTCGGTAATTTGTCCATTTTATAAAATGAATTTACCCAGCAGAAGTCTTTCTTGTGTTTGATCAGGTCGATGCACAATCTTCTCTGATCTAAGCATTATCACTTTTGATGGACATCATCTGTCCTTATTTAAGGAAGCATCTTATGTTGTCAGTCAAACCCAAGATGAAATCATAAGTGTTCATGTTGCTGATTGCAGAAACACTCACAGGGTAAGAAATCTTGTAATTTTTTATTATGGTTTGTTGAGTTATTTTATAATGCTGTACTATGTTGTTCTGTGGTGTCACTTACTGAGTCTTGCTGTATGTGTGCATTGCCGGATTGAATACGTTGCTTTCTTTATTTGTCTCTACACTTTTTTGTCCAGTTAATTAATCATTTATGTAACTGACTATTGACACCTCCAACCCTACCCAAGGTCACAGGATATGGAAACAGTGAAGATAGGAGCTGTTCGAATTTACATTTTCTGATTTGTTTATGTTCATGTCCTTTGCTATTCTTGAATAAAATTGCTTTTCAACATTTTCTCTTAAATTTAGATGTGTCACAGCTATATACAAAGCTTACATAATAGCTGTGTTTTTTGTTTTTGTTTTTAACTACAATGTTTAACTTCACACAAGTAAAGAACCTGCTATAGCATTTAACTGTGGAATAAACTAATGCTATTTAATTTTTACAAAAATATACAGGGCATTTTAACGTCTACTAAACTGTGTCCAACGATGCTGAATTTAACATACATGTCTAATCAGATTGTCATTGATCGCTTAAACAGAAAGGTAATGTTTATTTCTTCTGTTGTTATTGTAAGTCTTTCTTCTTGTTTTAGGTTTCTGAAATTTACATGCATGTAACTATGTTGAGGATTGTGACCCTAGTAACAAAAGTTTCCAAATTGATTGTAGCCCAAGGAATTAGGCTTCTAGTGTTTACAACTGGTACAATATAGGATGAAGGTGGCCTTTTATTATTTACAGTACATTCTGAGCAGATAGTAGATGTGTTACTTAAGAAATTGTTATATATTTCTTAAGTAACTTACATAATGCTTTAAGCAGTGTTAGTCTATTAAAGCTGCAGTTCTGTATTCACATATTTGGGGGAACTGCCCATTGAATCAAGGAGAATTCTTTCTACACAGCATTTTCAATATTCAATCATACATACCGTGTTGTCATTTGTCTTTGGCTCCTGCCAACCTAGCAGTTCGAAAGCATGTAAAAATGGGAGTAGATAAATACGTACCACCACGGTGGGAAGGTAATGGCATTTTGTGTTTAGTTGCGCTGGCCAGGTGACCACGGAAACTGTCTATTAAAACAAACCACTGAAGCTTCATCACAAATATTTTTGTATTGCAGTAGTTATATATTTGCTTCAGTATGTGTTCGTATATTTTCCAGATAGCTGTCAACTCAAGAAATGCATGGCCTACTATTAGAAAATATGGATTTTTAATTGAG